TATTTTACTTGCTTTAAAAGAAAACTACATTTGTTTTCATTTCATTGAATTATATTTTATTAATTTAAATTTTTAATTCAATTTTCTTTTTATTTTATGATTTTGTTTTCAAAAATAAAATATTTTCTTAAATTTATTTTAAGTTTTAAGTACTACTTTCTTCGTTTCTGATAAACTTTTTTCTTTTTCTAATTAAATTTTTAGTTTAATTTTTTGTTAAGAAAAAAATTGTTTGATTTTTAAAAATACTTGTTTTTTTCTTACTTTTTGCTTCATTTTCATTTAACATATTTTTATTTTTTCTTTTATTCATTAGTTTTTATTGTATTAAAAAGAAAAATATATTATATATATATCTTTAATTCAATATAATTTTTGGAAAACTTATTCCTAAAAGGTGAATAGCATAACGCCCAAGACCTCCTCGTTAGCAGATCATTCAATTAGTCTTTCGAAAGACAGTAAAGTGTTGTGAGTTGTTGACCTTTTTTTATCTGACATGTCAGCGTCACATATTTGTCAGAGTTTTTCCCATAGTATAAAACGGATTGTCTTCGAAAGTACGGAGACTTTAATATACGTACTATAGATATGTATATTCTCCCAGGTGTTAATAGTAACAGCAAGGAATGTTAAGTAGAGACTTGTTGACTCAAGAAAGTTGCTTACAGAGTTTTCTTGGCATACTGGTCATAATTCAAGAGCTCGCTATCGGGGCGTCTCGAACTCTGAATTCTCACATACAAGGCGTATACTACACTAGGGATCCATCATAGAAAAATCTTAATCAACAGAAAATCGAAAATACCCGAATGATACCCCTAGGGGACTAAGAAACAACAAGAACAAAATCGTATAGTGTGGCAAGAAAAGTCCTTGTAGACAGGTAAAAATACATTCGTTTTTCCTTCGTGTTTCGATTAGCCTCAAACTCTTAACAGTTACCCTAATTATAAATACCATTTAACGTTTATCCAATCCAATCACTTTATTCCGCATCGCACACTTTACGGGGCGCATTCAGTCACTTTTATTACGACAGCTTTTCTTTTTATCCTTCAAATACTCACTTCAATCACACTTTATGACACTCGATTGACATGCATTCGATTTTTAGCACGCCTGCTCCACTCCCCCTTACCCACAAACAACCAAGCTAAGATACAGAGTATGTACATCCGTTTATAACACAATACTGATTTGAATGAAAAATCCATTTTTATAAAGGCATGGAAAAACGTTTCCTTGGCAGGTTAACAACAACACACCTCTACCAACGGCCAGAACTTAATGCCAGCACTGCGCTACCTTGCCTATATTACATGGCTTATAGCTGTAGATGTGGATATAGATTTGAAGGAAAAACGTCGAAACCGACGACGTTATTTAATATCTGTGCAATTCAATCAATTCTTAAGTGGTAGGTACGGCGGAATGTATCTGCTGGTACACAACTCAGCCAACAAGCAAGCAACCTACAACCTTCTTTCCAGCACAAGCACAGGCGGAGGACGAGAGGTATAGCGTCGGCGTGAAGGTGGTTGGTTGCCTTTGTTGTTGAGTTTAAAATTCATTTCATTTCCGACGAATATTTATTTCTCACTTCCTATCGGCTGCAAGAAGAAAATTACGTATAACTTGGGAAGACATTATTTGCTGTTAAAACTACCCGCCACTAACAGCTGNCGTTACCCTAATTATAAATACCATTTAACGTTTATCCAATCCAATCACCTTATTCCGCATCGCACACTTTACGGGGCGCATTCAGTCACTTTTATTACGACAGCTTTTCTTTTTATCCTTCAAATATTCACTTCAATCACACTTTATGCCACTCGATTGACATGCATTCGATTTTTAGCACGCCTGCTCCACTTCCCCTTACCCACAAACAACCAAGCTAAGATACAGAGTATGTACATCCGTTTATAACACAATACTGATTTGAATGAAAAATCCATTTTTATAAAGGCATGGAAAAACGTTTCCTTGGCAGGTTAACAACAACACACCTCTACCAACGGCCAGAACTTAATGCCAGCACTGCGCTACCTTGCCTATATTACATGGCTTATAGCTGTAGATGTGGATATAGATTTGAAGGAAAAACGTCGAAACCGACGACGTTATTTAATATCTGTGCAATTCAATCAATTCTTAAGTGGTAGGTACGGCGGAATGTATCTGCTGGTACACAACTCAGCCAACAAGCAAGCAACCTACAACCTTCTTTCCAGCACAAGCACAGGCGGAGGACGAGAGGTATAGCGTCGGCGTGAAGGTGGTTGGTTGCCTTTGTTGTTGAGTTTAAAATTCATTTCATTTCCGACGAATATTTATTTCTCACTTCCTATCGGCTGCAAGAAGAAAATTACGTATAACTTGGGAAGACATTATTTGCTGTTAAAACTACCCGCCACTAACAGCTGCCGTGTCTGTATATGCAGATTTTTGCTTGGGTACTGTAGGCTTCTAATGCTTCTAGTCGCTGCCACCCGTCGTCGAAAGAAGGCAACGTACGAAAGCTCGCAACGTAAAATTCTGTGTTTTCCTCCATTTTCCACCATACGGGTGAATATCTAATTTCCTGCTAGCATCGCTGCCACAGCCATAACGCCTACCGAACACATAGCCGGTTTGGTTAGGTGGCCAAGCTGACAACAGCAGCAGCCAACAGCCAGCACGACAATTATGGATGCGAGGTATAAGGAGGCTACGCTGGCTCCTCCAATGGGCTGCTGCTGAGTGACGGATGGCGTTGGTGACCGAGTGCCTTACAAATGCGAGCGACGTGGCAGGCAGCAGCGACAGCAGCAATCGACGACTCTAGACCAGACTGGATTGAATTGCTGTAGTCCCACTGCGAGGAGAGTGGCGCTCAATTGTCAACATTTTTATACATACATATATACATATTTACATGCATATATATGCAGTCAATTGAATGTACATATACACAAGTGCATGTATGTTTATTTACTGTAAATGGTATTTTCAAGTGCATTNGTACCTACCTACATATGTACATATTTACATGCATATACATATATGCAGTCAATTGAATGTACATATACACAAGTGCATGTATGTTTATNGCAAGCAACCAACAACCTTCTTGCCAGCACAAGCACAGGCGGAGGACGAGAGGTATAGCGTCGGCGTGAAGGTGGTTGGTTGCCTTTGTTGTTGAGTTTAAAATTCATTTCATTTCCGACGAATATTTATTTCTCACTTCCTATCGGCTGCAAGAAGAAAATTACGTATAACTTGGGAAGACATTATTTGCTGTTAAAACTACCCGCCACTAACAGCTGCTGTGTCTGTATATGCAGATTTTTGCTTGGGTACTGTGGGCTTCTAATGCTTCTAGTCGCTGCCACCCGTCGTCGAAAGAAGGTGGCTCATCCTACGAAAGCTCGGAACGTAAAATTCTGTGTTTTCGCCCATTTTCTACCATACGGGTGAATATCGAATTTCCTGCCAGCATCGCTGCCACAGCCATAACGCCTACCGCACACATAGCCGGTTTGGTTAGGCTGCCAAGCTGACAACAGCAGCAGCCAACAGCCAGCACGACAATTATGGATGCAAGGCATAAGGAGGCTACGCTGGCTCCTCCAATGGGCTGCTTGCTGCTGAGTGACGGATGGTGTTGGTGACCGAGTGCCTTACAAATGCGAGCGACGTGGCAGGCAGCAGCGACAGCAGCAATCGACGACTCTAGACCAGACTGGATTGAATTGCTGTAGTCCCACTGCGAGGAGAGTGGCGCTCAATTGTCAACATTTTTATACATACATATATACATATTTACATGCATATATATGCAGTCAATTGAATGTACATATACACAAGTGCATGTATGTTTATTTACTGTAAATGGTATTTTCAAGTGCATTTCTTTGCTTGTTGGCTGGTTCCTGCGTTCCTGACTAGCTCGCCGTTGACAGCCAGCTATCCAGCTAGGCGAACCGCTTGAACGCCTGTGGCTGACACAATTACGCCAACTTAGGTTCCACACACACACACACTCGAGCTCGAAATTTGAGATCTTCTAGTGGTCGCAAGAAAATATATTCAAATAAAAATAAATAAATAAAAAACCAGAAAGTTCAAATCTAAATATTTGTCTAAAGAAGGAAGCAGTGTAGCCAGTCATGTTCTCAAATGACTTGAATGATGATGAGGCCGATGAACAAAGTGATGATGACGAGGATTGTTTGCTCGTTGGCACACTCGAATACAACTTGGAAGACAAAGTTCCTAAATATGTAGTTGACTCACTCACTATTTTAAATTTTTCCGTATAGTCGTCGAATTTCACAAATTTTGTAACTGTTCAACAATTTTCTTCAAACTCAGCAAATTCTTGCACACTTTTGCACATCTGTTTTGCAGTTTTCTCACACTTTTTTCTCAACGTTCTGTTTCGTTTAAATTGCACTTAACTAACGATTAACGACGTATTGTCGTGTTGTTTTGTTACACAGACAGACGTTTTGCACGAAAGTCCACTTTTCCAAGCATAAATTGTCGCTTTATGCGTTCGAAAGTCACACAACAGTCAGTGAAACAGGTCAGGCCTGTAGTATACGACCGTGTCCGTCCAACTCTCTGCCTGTCCGACCGACCGACCAAGCTAAATTCTCGAGCGCACTATTACCGGACTCATCCAATCCGTCCAAAAGAAATTTTCATACTGAAACGAGCTGTGCACAACTGAACTGAATTGAATTGTGTTGTGCTAACGACGGCGTCGATGACGACCACTACGACAGCAACGACTATGGGAATCATCACATCCATCCACAAGTCGCTAGTAGCTAGCCGCCACAACAAGCACTCGTCGGAACTGGTCGGAGTCATCGCCGCTGATGGTGTTGGTTCAGCATCGGCATCATTATAGCCGTCGTCTCCGTGGTTGTCTAAAACACAAACAAGAAAGGCAGTAACGGCGACTGCGACTGGGACTGAGACTGCGCAGTTGCCGCCACTTTTTATAGCAACGCTTTCTGCGGCAGCTCTGCTAATGACGTCGGCTTACNCTGCTGCATTGGTGTTGGTTCAGCATCGGCATCGGAATCGGCATCATTATAGCCGTCGTCGCCGTGGTTGTCTAAACACAAACAAGAAAGGCAGTAACAGCTACTGCGACTGCGACTGAGACTGCGCAGTTGCCACCACTTTTTATAGCAACGCTTTCTGCGGCAGCTCTGCTAATGACGTCGGCTTACAGTGAAGCAAAATGTTACGAGGACTTGTGAAATTTTGAAGAAGTTTTGTTCACAATCTCATTTCAATGGCTTTTGGATGAAAGCGTCCTCCGGGAGAAAGCTTATCAGAAATAAAAAAAAGGCATCTAAGATTAAGAAAAAGCCAGGAGGCGTTCAAAAATCCNCTTACAGTGAAGCAAAATGTTACGAGGACTTGTGAAATTTTGAAGAAGTTTTGTTCACAATCTCATTTCAATGGCTTTTGGATGAAAGCGTCCTCCGGGTGAAAGGTTCTCAGAAATAAAAAAAGGCATCTAAGATTAAGAAAAAGCCAGGAGGCGTTCAAAAATCCCAACTTGTCTACTTTTTTAGGACCAAAATATGCCAATTGGTGAATTCATAACAGCTCGCAGCTTTTTTGTGTCAGAAGGTATCTGTTAAGTGCTAGAAGCTGGAAATCATACCAAAGCTCTAAGCTTTCTATTATTTTAAGTTTTTCGAATGAAAGCCAAGGCCAGAAGCACGTTCGCAAGTTTTTGTTTTATTCGGCCAAAGTTAGAAAAAANTTTCATACCAAAGCTTTCTATAATTTTAAGTTTTTCGAATGAAAGCCAAGGCCAGAAGCACGTTCGCAAGTTTATGTTTTATTCGGCTAAAGTTAGAAAAAATATCCCAATTTGTCTATACTTTTTACATTTCGAATGAAAACTTCCATAACTTTATGAGAAAANAATCATACCAAAGCTCTAAGCTTTCTATTATTTTAAGTTTTTCGAATGAAAGCCAAGGCCAGAAGCACGTTCGCAAGTTTTTGTTTTATTCGGCCAAAGTTAGAAAAAATATCCCAATTTTTCTATACTTTTTACATTTCGAATGAAAACTTCCATAACTTTATGAGAAAAGAGAATTAAGAGAATTCTAATAGTTTGCCTTATTCATAATTTAGATTCAATGGACCCACTTTAGTGGCGCAGCCTCATTACGTAAGTCGTAAATTAGACTAAATTGTAAGACTTGACAACATTGGCATTGCCTACTGTCGTGCTGAAATAAGTAGATGACGAAAATCGTCCAAAACTATCCAATGCTTGGTTTTCCGTTTTAATACACTAGTCCGGTCGTAAAATTAGGCAATGCCATGCAATGACTCGCAATAAGGTTGATTATTTTAGCTAATACAATAATGAAAGCTTTCAAAATCATGGATATGTGTAATTTTTTGATTGTATTCGAAAAAAGTTCGCACTCGTAGACCTTTCAGGTGAAAGTTTCCAAAATATCCACCAGACCTCGAAAGCTCTGTCGTTCCTAACTTTCCACTTTTATACGACTTTCAGGTGAAAGCTACAAAAAACTTGCTGCTAAGTGCCAGAAATCTTGAAAACGTCGGGATGATGCGGACACATTTTTTTAAATTTTTCTGGAAAAGCTCAATCTGATCAGAACAATCTTATTCGTAAATTTAGAAAGCTCAGATATTATACTATATAGTTTTGTCACTAGAAAAACTTTTTAGAGACTTCGGGTGAGAGTTTCAAAGTTTGTTGAAATGCTTAATTTGTTTCACATAATTTTCGCTCGGAATATGTTAAATGTTTACGGGTTTATTACAATCTTCTTACCAACTCCAGTGTTAAATAGAAATAGTAATGATTTGTACATACCTGTAAAGACAAAAAGTAATAATCGATTAAATAATGAAAACAATCGATGTCGCTGAAAAAAAGAAATATTTATTAGCTGCTATAAGTTATACTATTTTTAAGGTGTATTTCTCCAAGCTGAAAAATGCCTTTACAATTACCAAAATCTCCAATTGTTCAGTTTTGTTTTTCAATTTAAGTGCATCCTATAGTGGGGAGGTATTATAAGAATTTTGTAAATATGCGGTCATTCTGAAATAATTCGAGTATCTTAAATTTTAGCTCTTTTAAAAGTTTAGTTTTTTTTTAGTTTTAGAATAAATGGAAACAATGGCACTTATCCATAAGAACTAAGCTTAAAAAACTACGAAAAATGTGAGGTTAGAGCCAGAAAATTTACCCCAAACTTCAACCGATTTTAAACGCATAAATCAAAGAATAGAAAGGCAGCTGACAACTCTACTTCAATCGCTATAACTTCATAATGACTCTAGTCACTTCCACTGCCGTCTTAAGCAGTGGATACGCTACCTGTGAAGCAACCTGTCAGCGGACTTTTCCTTCTTTCCTGCCAGCCAGTGAATCGCTATCAGCTACTTGCACATCAATGTAATGCGTTTTGCATACTAATTCGAAAATAAGCTACATCTGGCCAAAAGTGCTGTAAAAACAAAAACAACAGCGCTAACAAGCAACAATTAAACTCTAAGCTTNGCGCTGAGAAAAGAAATATTTATTGGCTGCTTTAAGTTATATTATTTTTAAGGTGTTTTTCTCCAAGCTGAAAAATGCCTTTTCAATTACCAAAATCTCCAATTGTTCAGTTTTGTTTTTTCATTTTAATGGGATCCTATAGTGGGGAGGTATTATAAGAATTTTGTAAATATGCAATCATTCTGAAATAATTCGAGTATCTTAAATTTTAGCTCTTTTAAAAGTTTAGTTTTTTTTTTTCTTTTAGAATATATGGAAACAATGGCACTTATCCATAAGAACTAAGCTTAAAGAAGCTACGAAAAATGTGAGGTTAGAGCCAGAAAATTTACCCTAAACTTAAACCTAGTATTTTAAACGCATAAATCAAAGAATAGAAAGGCAGCTGACAACTCTACTTCGATCGCTATAACTTCATAATGACTCTAGTCACTTCCACTGCCGTCTCAAGCAGTGGAAACGCTACCTGTGAAGCAACCTGTCAACGGACTTTTCCTTCTCTCCTGCCAGCCAGTGAATCGCTATCAGCTACTTGCACATCAATGTAACGCGTTTTGCATACTAATTCGAAAATAAGCTACATCTGGCCAAAAGTGCAGTAAAAACAAAAACAACAGCGCTAACAAGCAACAATTAAACTCTAAGCTTAACAAATACAGCATACAAAAATATAAAAAGACAACAAAAATCGCAGTAATGTTGTTTCGTGAATAAATAGAGAAGAAAAATAAAGCCACTGTGCGACCGAGAACCCACAACCGAGTCATGGACAGCAAAAGTAGAGAATGAACGCCATTGGAATATTAGATACAGACACAAAGTGGAAAAAAACTGAAAACAGAGAAACTTTGCATACAAGTAGAAATCTTTTCCAGCGCCAACTAACTGGCTTACTGTGGATTGCAGTTGGTTGCTCTGCCAGTAGTTGGCTGACTGAGCGAGCTGGGAGCAATTTGAAAGCAACTGCGGTGGAGCAAAATGAAGGAGACCCGAAGAGTGGCAGTAAATGCTAGCGACCACTTGTTTAGTTATGTTTGCTGTTTTTTGTTTTTTTTTACATATAACTTTGGCCACATTAAATGGCCTAGTCATATGGTTTCACTGCAGTTGTGTTTTTGTTGTAAACAGTGTTGTTACTTTCAAGTGTTGTTGTTGCTGCTGCTGCTGCTGCGCTTGGTTTTATCGTTTACTGCAATGTCGACTACATTTGTTTCTCATTTGCCAGTAATGTCAGCTGTGTGGGGATTCGTTTTCCATACAAACTCAAACATATATGCACTACTATATGTATAGAAATGTACATATGTACATATACATATGTATATAGTGTTGTGGAGCAGCAATGATTTCTGCCGGATTTGGAAGTGTTAAGCGTGAGATCGATTCTAGCAAGCAGAACACGTGATTCAGCTGTTTTGCTGTAAAATCGAATAAAATTTCCGAGATTTTATGTGAAACTGCGTTTCATAATCCGATGAGGTCGAACGCTCGAAAATAAAAACTATACATCAATTTTAGGTAATTCAGAATGGGGGTATAACTGGTATATTCAGTTTTAGCAATTTAAAAAATGGACTTAATAGGTTTTTTTTGTACACTATTTTTTAGTAATTTAAAAAGTCTGCATAAAGTTTTGTTTAAATAAACTTTTAGCCAATTTCACTTTCTATGTCCAGTTTTTAGATTGCCAAAAATGTATGCACGGATTCTTTAATAAACTAAAAGTTTTATGTCGAATTTTTTATGTGACCCAAAAATTACATAGCTTTTATTAAATTTTGGAATTTTGAATTTACTTAAGTTAAAGACCTGATTCTCAAATACCTGAAATTTAATAGGTATAATTTTGAAAACAGTAGCTTAAAAGCCATGCCCATAGCTCGCTAATATGGCACATCATATATACATACATACTTAAGTATGTACATTAGAATGCATCGCTCCCCATACAAAAAAAAATCGGTACAGCGTTTCCAATGGAATTATAAAATCTATTATATCTTCCACCAAAAAAAAATTGAAAAAATTAAAATTTATGTGAACTTGACCGTTTTTAAAACATCTCCAAAAAAAATTTTTTTTTCTTGAATAAAAATAGTTTTTAAAATTATTTTTTGAGAAAAATCGGGTCAGAGGACAAAACAGTTTAAGCGTAAAAAATGTGCATAAAAATAAAAAATTTTCAACGGTAACAGATGAGATTGATTTTTGATGCTGTTTTTTTAGGTTTTTCCGATTGCTTTATAAAAAAGAAAACGATGTTGAAATATAAGTGTTTTTACTCTCTCGAAAATAATTTATGCAACCTCACATACGCGGTTTTGAATTATCTTGATACGCGGTTGTGCTTTTTGTTGATACGCGGTTTTGTACTTTAAACGACGATATGTATGTATGCCTTTATGTAAATACATACCAAAATCAAGTAAACATTTCTTGCATCATAGGTTCTCGTCTCCTTCCTCTACACAATTCTTTATGATACAAAGCTGAATAAAAACTTTACGATTATCATAAAAAGAATGTTTACAGAGTGTCTATAAAAA